TGTTATATATTAGTGTGACTGGTGTGGTATGTTATATATCAGTATGACTGGTGTGGTATGTTATATATCAGTATGACTGGTGTGGTATGTTANACAGTAAAACCCCACATCCTTGAATACCGCATATTCCTCAAACAACAATTTGTCCCAGACTCTTCATGGTTTTAGTATTAATCCTTTGTCCCAGACTCTTCATGGTTTTAGTATTAATCCTATCTATTCGTCGAACAGGTGTGACCTGTCATGCCTGACAGATATTTTATCTGTGTATCACAGGTACCGGCGCTGCCGTCAACATGTCTCGATATCGAGGCACAGACTGCAGTCCATGTTAAATGTGTTTATACAGGTGTTGGCTTGACGTCAGATAACTAAAGGATTAACGGCAGTATCATTATGTATCTGTAACATTACCCTGTTGTAGCTGCATTATCATTTTGTGTGCATATTTATTTTTTCCAGATGATGTTTTGACATCCACGATTTGGCGGAAGTGGTAATGCACTTGGTGTGTAAAACCATATTTCGGCATGGCAGTATTAAGCGGAAGTCACGAAATCCGACCAACTTTAAAGATATTCAAACTTAAATACCTTGTGATTGTTAATTTCGCTATCAATCAACATTATGATTACAAGGATTAAAGATTTTATTCATTTTAAATGATTGAAGAGTTCCTCTCGTTTTGATATTTTGTCAAATTAATGTATCCGATTACAGTATAGCGGACTATGTCAAAACGACAAGTACGTTACACATGCAGCTTTAGATTTTATTTACTTTCTCAATACCGGTGGCTATATGTTTTCATTGTTTAGTTATTTTAAATCTTATTTAGGTTTCATTATTTAGTTATTTTAAATCTGATTAAATGCTGTCATCTTGATTAAACTTCTTTTTTCTTCAATCATCTATTATCCACGATAGCTAGTGCCCGTACTGTCTGTTGTCCCAACTGATAAAAAAAATGATGATGTCGGCCGAACCTCGGGTTTTGTCGAATACCATGTATTTCTCAAACTATTGATCTGGACCCTACTAGTTGGAGTAAACAGGGTTTACTCTTAGTAATACACCTGTGATACTGATATCTCTCCTTTGTATACATTACTGACCTGTCCCCTCAGCTCCACTATAACCTACACCTGTAATACTGATATCCTTTGTATACATTACTGACCTGTACCCTCAGCTCCACTAGAACCTTCAGTCTTAGTAATACACCTGTGATACTGATATCTCTCCTTTGTATACATTACTGACCTGTCCCCTTAGCTCCACTAGAACCTTCAGTCTTAGTAATACACCTGTGATACTGATATCTCTCCTTTGTATATATTACTGACCTGTCCCCTCAGCTCCACTAGAACCTTCAGTCTTAGTAATACACCTGTGATACTGATATCTCTCCTTTGTATACATTACTGACCTGTACCCTCAGCTCCACTAGAACCTTCAGTCTTAGTAATACACCTGTGATACTGATATCTCTCCTTTGTATACATTACTGACCTGTACCCTCAGCTCCACTAGAACCTTCAGTCTTAGTAATACACCTGTGATACTGATATCTCTCCTTTGTATATATTACTGACCTGTCCCCTCAGCTCCACTAGAACCTTCAGTCTTAGTAATACACCTGTGATACTGATATCTCTCCTTTGTATATATTACTGACCTGTCCCCTCAGCTCCACTAGAACCTACACCTGTGATACTGATATCTCTCCTTTGTATACATTACTGACCTGTCCCCTCAGCTCCACTAGAACCTTCACTTCTCCTTCAGTCTTGGTGAAGCCTTGGTAACACATATTGCGAGCCGATCTTCTTGTTGAGATGAAAACATCTCCATTGACCAGTTCATGAGCTATGTAAGGAATCGTTGGATGAATCCAGACGTTGGTCTGTCCAAACATTGTCTCTGGTCGTAGAGTGGCTGCTACCAAATACACCTTTCTTCCCTCCAAGCCTCTATAAAAAAAACAGACTTCATAATAAACTCTGTTTGCATAGAACTTAACTTAATATTCATCAGTTTGGAATGAGTAATATCTGCTACAATGTAGGTTAGGTTGGACTCAAAACAGTAGTTGAAAACAGATTTTGCAAGCTATCAAAAGTGTGTTTTCTCTTTGCACCTTTGCTTGAAAAAAGAAACATGTTTCCAAAGCTTGCAAATGAATTTTTAATTACTGTTTGTGTTCAAAACAAATTTAACATAAACCAACTTGATATTGTCAGAATACAGAACAAGTGACCCAGAGGGTCATATTACTCACCTGGATATTTCAGCAATCACAGGAAAATGTTCTCAATAAAAGTTATTTCGCAAATATTTCCACATATCAAGAATGTTCCAGACTAAATGATTGAGATCATTAATCATGAAGGAGGAACTGATGACTTGTCTCTGGTGACCTCTATTGAGCCCCACTCTGCTGCACTTGGGGAGCAAGACCTGCCCTTTATACAACATTGAATCCTCTTGGTCCAAGAATATTTCATACTAAATTTGGTCAAGTAGGTCAAGTTCATTTTTTTTTTTTATTAAAATTGTACTACTCTCTCCCAGCATGTTATAGGCCAACTATCACCCTGGCACTTTTTGTAATGAGAAAAAAAATATGTTTTAAGACTTTTTACACATTTGACCCTTGTGACCTTAAAAGTCAAGGTCATTTACTGGTACACATTTGACCCTTGTGCCCTTAAAAGTCAAGGTCATTTACTGGAAGAAAGTTTATACTACTCTATCCCAGTAAAATGTCATCACTCTTGGGCTCCTGGTTATTCAGAAGAAGTTTTTAAAATGTTTTTACATATTTGACCCCTGTGACCTTGAAAGTAGATCATGGTCATTTACTTGAGGAAATATTATAGCAGTCTGTCCTAGGTACCTTCTGGCCAAATATCATTGCTCATACCTATTGGTTATTCAGAAGAAGCTGTTGAAAGTTTTTTTTAACAAATTTGGCCATTGTGATCTTGAAAGTAGGTCAAGGTCATTTATTTTAGAATACTTTACAGCACTCTGTCCTAGGTTTGTACTAGCCCCCCTATCTATTCACAACATAACATTGAAGAGACCTGAACTTCCGGCCTACTGTACAGTGTATTTATCTGATTTTATCGTTTTGTAATAGTAAAATAGACAATGCAAACAGGAACTATTATGCCAATGTTAGTTAATCAGCTTATTGCTGCAAGTACATTGCGAAATATTTCCAAAAGTCCTCGAAAAATTTACATATAATGGTCGTGACCCGAGTTTGTATCTGAGTTTCAAAAGAGACCATCTTGTGTGAATAGGATGATATACTTACATGTAGTAGGTATGTTATTAACGTATACAATAAATATTTGTGTATAGTGCACACTTTTTTAGAGAACAGGAGGCCCAGAGGGCCTGTATCGCTCACCTGGATAAGTATGCCCAGCAATGGTATATATGGCTATGGGATGGGGATCAGACCCATTTCAAAGTTACGACACAGGAACTAAGTCCCTATGAGTTGGGCAAGACCCAAGCGTCAATTCTAATATATGACTGTGTTTACCTCTTCATGCCAATCAAACATAATTATGTGGTAATGGAGTGGGTATCTCAACCGTTTCAAAGTTATGGCTCAGGTATCAAGTATTTAGGGTTGGGGCAAGATCCCAGGGTCAATTTTTATATCAAGATTATATTTGTCTCTTGATGCCTAGCAATGGTATATATTGTTATAGGGTGGGAATCTTAACTGTTTCAAAGTCATGGCTCAGGATTTGAGTCCTTAAGGATGGGGTCAGACCCCAGGGTCAATTCTTATATCATGATTGTGTTCGACTCTTGATGCCCAACAATGGTATATATGGTTATGGGGTGGGGATCTCAACCGTTTCTAAGTTATGGCTCAGGAATTAAGTATCTGGGGGTGGGGCCTGATCCCAGAGTAAATTTTTATATCATGATTGTGTTCCTCTTGTGATGCCCAGCAATGGTATAATATGGTTATGGGGTGGGGAACTCAACTGTTTCAAACTTACAGCTCAGGAAGTAGTCCCTAAGGGGTGGGGCCAGACCCCAGGGTTGATTCTTATATCACAATTTTGTTTGTCTATTCGATGCTCAGCAATTGTATACCAAATATGGTTTACTTCCTTCTCTTTGTTTCAATGAAGAAGTCGCTTAAACCAATATGGCAAAATTTGCCTCTTTTGGCCCTGCCCATCAGCCACTTAGGGTGTCAACCCCTCCATTTGTTAAATTTTGAGTCCCTACTACCTAGGGATGCCTCTAGTCAAATTTGGTCAAATTCCAATCAGCGGTTTATAAGAAGAAGTCATTTGAAGAAATTGTTGATGGACAGACAGGCGGGCGATGTATGCGACAGTGTGGAATAATATGGGAAAAAAATATCAAATATTTTTTCTTCCATCCCATAAACGTGTCTATTATACACAAGTGCGCACATCACACGAATAATGATTACACGTTTATTTAGTTTATCTTCGTAAGTGGCTTACCTGGTTGTTGCTATCAGTCAAGCTTGACATTTCTCCCTGAAAAAAATATATCTTACTATTTTTTTTCCCAACCCCATAAAACTCTAGGCCTTTTGGTTCTTCAAAAACAGGTTTTTTACATATCTGACCCTTGTAACTTTGAAAGTACTGGTCAAGCTTTGTCAGGCTTCATCCCACAAAGCTACTTGCCTAACATCAAGCCTTTTGACCTTTTGGTTCTTCAGAAAAAGTCTTTTGAAGTTTTGGCATGATTAACCTTTGTGACGTTGAAAGTAGGTCAATGTCTTTTCATTTCCAAACCTTTTCTAAAAGAAATTGACAGACCACAAACGGAGAGAGAACAGACACTGCGCATATACAGCACAGCATTAAAATGAGTGGCACTACAGAAGTCTACACCAGCCACATACATATATCTAGCTATTACCAACTCACCTTAGTTTGGGAGGGAGAGGCTCCAGAACTCTCAACTTGATCAGTGTGTACTCTTGAGGCCCAACATTCTGTAATACATAAGACACACGACTAATAGGAATGTATATAGAGCTCATCTGTTATACAACTCATGTCTGTGACCTTGAATATGATTCAAAATCATTTACTCGAACAAGATCGAACACGTTGCCAATATCCCTACCCCTGAATTTTGGATTAAATTCATAGAGACAACAGGATGTTATAATCATAACCCGCTTATGTGACAATTTGCCTTCCCAAGATGTACAAGTATATCAACTTTGAATATCGCTGGTGAAATAATGTCGATCAAATTTGGATCAGAGAGTTACGGCAAGTTTGATAAATCACTTTTCACATGGTTTAAACCTACATTATGATCTATCAACTCACTAGGACAGTCGTTACAATACTTCTCACCTTCACACATCACCATGAGGACAGTCGTTACAATACTTCTCACCTTCACACATCACTAGGACAGTCATTGCAATACTTCTCACCTTCACACATCACTAGGACAGTCGTTACAATACTTCTCACCTTCACACATCACTAGGACAGTCGTTACAATACTTCTCACCTTCACACATCACTAGGACAGTCGTTACAATACTTCTCACCTTCACACATCACTAGGACAGTCGTTACAATACTTCTCACCTTCACACATCACTAGGACAGTCGTTACAATACTTCTCACCTTCACACATCACTAGGACAGTCGTTACAATACTTCTCACCTTCACACATCACTAGGACAGTCGTTACAATACTTCTCACCTTCACACATCACTAGGACAGTCGTTACAATACTTCTCACCTTCACACATCACTAGGACAGTCGTTACAATACTTCTCACCTTCACACATCACTAGGACAGTCGTTACAATACTTCTCACCTTCACACATCACTAGGACAGTCGTTACAATACTTCTCACCTTCACACATCACTAGGACAGTCGTTACAATACTTCTCACCTTCACACATCACTAGGACAGTCGTTACAATACTTCTCACCTTCACACATCACTAGGACAGTCGTTACAATACTTCTCACCTTCACACATCACTAGGACAGTCGTTACAATACTTCTCACCTTCACACATCACTAGGACAGTCGTTACAATACTTCTCACCTTCACACATCACTAGGACAGTCGTTACAATACTTCTCACCTTCACACATCACTAGGACAGTCGTTACAATACTTCTCACCTTCACACATCACTAGGACAGTCGTTACAATACTTCTCACCTTCACACATCACTAGGACAGTCGTTACAATACTTCTCACCTTCACACATCACTAGGACAGTCGTTACAATACTTCTCACCTTCACACATCACTAGGACAGTCGTTACAATACTTCTCACCTTCACACATCACTAGGACAGTCGTTACAATACTTCTCACCTTCACACATCACTAGGACAGTCGTTACAATACTTCTCACCTTCACACATCACTAGGACAGTCGTTACAATACTTCTCACCTTCACACATCACTAGGACAGTCGTTACAATACTTCTCACCTTCACACATCACTAGGACAGTCGTTACAATACTTCTCACCTTCACACATCACTAGGACAGTCGTTACAATACTTCTCACCTTCACACATCACTAGGACAGTCGTTACAATACTTCTCACCTTCACACATCACTAGGACAGTCGTTACAATACTTCTCACCTTCACACATCACTAGGACAGTCGTTACAATACTTCTCACCTTCACACATCACTAGGACAGTCGTTACAATACTTCTCACCTTCACACATCACTAGGACAGTCGTTACAATACTTCTCACCTTCACACATCACTAGGACAGTCGTTACAACAATTCTCACCTTCACACATCACTAGGACAGTCGTTACAATACTTCTCACCTTCACACATCACTAGGACAGTCGTTACAATACTTCTCACCTTCACACATCACTAGGACAGTCGTTACAATACTTCTCACCTTCACACATCACTAGGACAGTCGTTACAATACTTCTCACCTTCACACATCACTAGGACAGTCGTTACAATACTTCTCACCTTCACACATCACTAGGACAGTCGTTACAATACTTCTCACCTTCACACATCACTAGGACAGTCGTTACAATACTTCTCACCTTCACACATCACTAGGACAGTCGTTACAATACTTCTCACCTTCACACATCACTAGGACAGTCGTTACAATACTTCTCACCTTCACACATCACTAGGACAGTCGTTACAATACTTCTCACCTTCACACATCACTAGGACAGTCGTTACAATACTTCTCACCTTCACACATCACTAGGACAGTCGTTACAATACTTCTCACCTTCACACATCACTAGGACAGTCGTTACAATACTTCTCACCTTCACACATCACTAGGACAGTCGTTACAATACTTCTCACCTTCACACATCACTAGGACAGTCGTTACAATACTTCTCACCTTCACACATCACTAGGACAGTCGTTACAATACTTCTCACCTTCACACATCACTAGGACAGTCGTTACAATACTTCTCACCTTCACACATCACTAGGACAGTCGTTACAATACTTCTCACCTTCACACATCACTAGGACAGTCGTTACAATACTTCTCACCTTCACACATCACTAGGACAGTCGTTACAATACTTCTCACCTTCACACATCACTAGGACAGTCGTTACAATACTTCTCACCTTCACACATCACTAGGACAGTCGTTACAATACTTCTCACCTTCACACATCACTAGGACAGTCGTTACAATACTTCTCACCTTCACACATCACTAGGACAGTCGTTACAATACTTCTCACCTTCACACATCACTAGGACAGTCGTTACAATACTTCTCACCTTCACACATCACTAGGACAGTCGTTACAATACTTCTCACCTTCACACATCACTAGGACAGTCGTTACAATACTTCTCACCTTCACACATCACTAGGACAGTCGTTACAATACTTCTCACCTTCACACATCACTAGGACAGTCGTTACAATACTTCTCACCTTCACACATCACTAGGACAGTCGTTACAATACTTCTCACCTTCACACATCACTAGGACAGTCGTTACAATACTTCTCACCTTCACACATCACTAGGACAGTCGTTACAATACTTCTCACCTTCACACATCACTAGGACAGTCGTTACAATACTTCTCACCTTCACACATCACTAGGACAGTCGTTACAATACTTCTCACCTTCACACATCACTAGGACAGTCGTTACAATACTTCTCACCTTCACACATCACTAGGACAGTCGTTACAATACTTCTCACCTTCACACATCACTAGGACAGTCGTTACAATACTTCTCACCTTCACACATCACTAGGACAGTCGTTACAATACTTCTCACCTTCACACATCACTAGGACAGTCGTTACAATACTTCTCACCTTCACACATCACTAGGACAGTCGTTACAATACTTCTCACCTTCACACATCACTAGGACAGTCGTTACAATACTTCTCACCTTCACACATCACTAGGACAGTCGTTACAATACTTCTCACCTTCACACATCACTAGGACAGTCGTTACAATACTTCTCACCTTCACACATCACTAGGACAGTCGTTACAATACTTCTCACCTTCACACATCACTAGGACAGTCGTTACAATACTTCTCACCTTCACACATCACTAGGACAGTCGTTACAATACTTCTCACCTTCACACATCACTAGGACAGTCGTTACAATACTTCTCACCTTCACACATCACTAGGACAGTCGTTACAATACTTCTCACCTTCACACATCACTAGGACAGTCGTTACAATACTTCTCACCTTCACACATCACTAGGACAGTCGTTACAATACTTCTCATTTACACATCACTAAGATAGTCGTTACAATACTTCTCACCTTCACACATCACTAGGACAGTGGTTACAATACTTCTCACCTTTACACATCACTAAGATAGTCGTTGCAATACTTCTCACCTTCACACATCCCTAGGACAGTCGTTACAATACTTCCCACCTTCACACATCACTAGGACAGTCGTTACAATACTTCTCATTCACACATCACTAGGATAGTCGTTACAATACTTCTCACCTTCACACATCACTAGGATAGTGGTTACAACACTTCTCACCTTCACACATCACTAGAATAGTGTCGTTACAATACTTCCCACCTTCACACATCACTAGGACAGTGGTTACAATACTTATCACCTTCACACATCACTAGGACAGTCGTTACAATACTTCTCACCTTCACACATCACTAGAATAGTGTCGTTACAATACTTCTCACCTTTACACATCAATAGGACAGTCGTTACAATACTTCTCACCTTCACACATCACTAGGACAGTCATTACAATACTTCTCACCTTCACACATCACTAGAATAGTGTCGTTACAATACTTCTCAACTTCACACATCACTAGGATAGTCGTTACAATACTTCAGTCAAATATCATGGCTTCTTTAGAAGAAGTTGTTTAAAGGAAAAGTTGACGGAAGCCAACGGACGATGGACGCCGCATCATGACATCAGCTCACCTGCCCTTCGGCAAAAATGAGGACAGGTATGTGCTCCATCCTAAGAAGCTTATCTAGTTTCAGAAGAAGCTTGTCTAGGGGCACAGTATCAAATGCTTCCTTCGGGTGAGCTAAACAGTTAACCCGCAAACCACTGGCTTACTGATACCCACTGCTCTCTTTAGAATAAGTTGTTTGGAAATTGTAACTCCTGTGACCCTGAAAATGGGTTAGTCATTTTATATCAACATTTAGTAGTGAATAGCTGTTGGAAAAATCTCTGACCCCAGCGGCCTTACCTCTCCTTTACTTCTGTCATGGTCCATACAAGGCTGTCCATCTTTTGGGGAGTAGATGGTGTACCTGAAGAAAAAATGTCCATCATCTGATCAACCAGTGATTTTATTAAACTTGAAGATAAGGTTGCGATTTATTAATCTAGGTATGATATGATTCTCAGTAAAACTTCAGCTTTTCCTGCAACGTGTGGTGTTTTAATGTAAAACTCATTTTGATTATAAAATTACTACTTCCTTATTGGCATATTTTTTAAATAACATTTACTCTCTAATGTAAACAACCTACGTATCCAAGTAAGTTTCAAGGCTTCAATAAAAGACTTAATGTGTATCATTTTAAGACCCCCTTCCTGATAGTTTTTAATAATATATAATTTGTTTTATCAGCCGTGGCTGATGAACAGTGTCAGAGGAGAAGATGGGGTAGTCCAGTTTGTAAAGTCAGTGTTTGTGCCTCCAGCTGATGCTGACTGCTGGAGTCAAATTTACCAGGATTTATGGCCAGTTGGATCTAGTCGTATAGGGGTAGAATTTTAGCAGGAATTCAGCAGCATCAACAATTGTATGTACATGTGTATCAAAATATTTAATGTAGCAGGATTTTGCTAAGGGACAGATAGTAAGGAAGTTCAGCTTGGGAGTCGTAGGAGAAGAGAGGTTTGGGAGTTGAGTTAAGGAGTTTTGAAGAAGGAGTTTGAGTTAGGGAGATCGAGTTGCGAGGTCTAGAGATAAAAGGAACAAGGTTACCGCGAGCGGTATATAATACGCCCGTCACACATTGAATGAGCAGTTGTTTGTATGATTGAAATATATGAAGTATTTGTGAGTAATTGATTTTAAAAGAGAAATCATTCAACATAACTGGTAGATCAATGTAAATTCCACAACATCATGGATCGCATGCATCGCATTAATGAAACCAAAGGGGAATAACTCCAATAATTACGGTCAAATAATAATGGTTATCAAACTTGTCTGAGCTTTCATGGTAATTAACCTTGTTGTGAAGTTTGAAGTTAATCCGTTAATAATTACTCGAGATATCGAGCGGACACTGTTTCG